AGTGCGTGTGTGCAGGACACCAAAGAAGAGCTAAGTGCGTGTGTGCAGGGAACCTAAGAAGACCTAAGTGCGTGTGTGCAGGACACCAAAGAAGACTGAAGTGTGTGTGTGCAGGGAACCTAAGAAGACCTAAGAGCATGTGTGCAGGGAACCAAAGAAGACCTAAGCACGTCTGTGCAGGACACTAAAGAAGACCTAAGAGCGTGTGTGCAGGGAACTGAAGAAGACCTAAGAGCATGTGTGCAGGGAACCAAAGCCGCCATAAGCACGTCTGTGCAGGACACCAAAGAAGACCTAAGTGTGTGTGTGCAGGGAACCTAAGAAGACCTAAGTGTGTGTGTGCAGGGAACCTAAGAAGACCTAAGTGTGTGTGTGCAGGACACCAAAGAAGACCTAAAAGCATGTGTGCAGAGAACCAAAGAAGACCTAAGTACGTGTGTGCAGGACACCAAAGAAGACCTATGTGCGTGTGTGCAGGGAACCAAAGAAGACCTAGTGTGTGTGTGTGTAGGGAACGAAAGAAAACCTATGTGTGTGTGTGCAGGGAACCAAAGAAGACCTAAGTGCATGTGTGCAGGGAACCAAAGAAGACCTAAGTGCGTGTGTGCAGGTCTCCAGAAAACCTAAGTACATGAGCAAGCATGCTGTTTCCATGAGTAGGCTATCTCAGTGTAATAAAGATGGCATTTCTCACAGCATTATGAAGCCTGTTGAATTTGTAAGGACAGGATGAATCAGAAATTCTCATTCCCTCTTGGTGGGAATATGACTTGGCACGCTCCTTGTAAGATAGTTTTAGAGTTACAATCAAGTGGAATATGCACATATCTAGCCATTGAGCAGTTCCCGCCTATGTCTGTTCCCTAGAGAAAGGTTTGCACTTCAACACCAGGACACATACGGGAATGCTCAGCATTGCTCAGCTAACAAAAGTGAACAGTCTAGATCTAACGAGAAGCTTAGCAGCAATTGTTGTTGTTGTTGTTATGTGCCCTCGAGTTGGACGCAACCCATAGCGACCCCTCCTTGGGTTGCCGAGGCAGTATCACTGCAGAAGTAGATTGCCCAACCTTCCTTCCGAAGAGTGGCTGGTAGGTTTGAACCACCACCCTTCTGGTTAGCAGTCACATGTCTTAGGCACTGTGTTACAGAGCAGCAGTAGAATACGTAAATGACTTGTGGAGTATCCTTAGAGTTGAATAGTAAACAGCATCACTCATGAAGTTCAGATATTTACACCACCATGCATGGGTATCAGAATGTAGCATCTTCGGTGCAGTGAATTGCTTCTTACGGCCCTGACAGCCACAGTCCTCCATTGTATGGTGTATTATAACTCTAGCCTCTATGCCTGTGGTTATGATCCCATTTTGAGATGAATTGTCTGTTGTGTTGAGAGGCACGATTAGGGTGGGATGTATCCTTGCTGGAGGGTGACTCAAGTCACCACCTTTAGTTTCTTTGAGGGTCTTTATGTGAATGTTCTGGCAAAAGTCTCTCTCTTGCTCTGGGTCCTGCATCTGGTTCGTCGTCATCTCACCCTGGGTTCTTGGGGCTCAAGGCAGCAGCCAGTCATCTGACCTGTTGATGTGGGTTCATCAGCCCCTGCCGCGATGTGAGTGAGGAGAATCCTCTAGACTGACACGTGACCCACAGATTTGGGACTTGCCAGCCTCCACTATCACCTGACCTATTTGCTTGGCGTTTCATGAGTTCTGTGAGATGTTACAGTGAAATACCGAATCCTAAAATGGGAGGGAGACTACGGAGTGGGGAGAAGTTGATGTTAGAGATGATGGAGTGATACAGCCATTTGGAAAAGCTGGACATTTGGGATGCCTCTAACCTCTGCCTCCTGGGGACCAGCCTTGTGCCACCGTTTCTAAAAGAAATGATTTGAGCAATGTTGAAGAAAACGAGTAAAACACAGAAGTAAAAGTTTAACCAGATTTCATTTATATAAAACTAACAACAAAAAAAGTAAATACTGTTTAGAGATAAGTAAGTGAAGAAACTATAAATAAACGTTAAAAGAAAGAAAAAATGGTACTTAGACAAATACAAACCAGACGAAAACTGCTATATCTATCTACCTTAATATCAGCAAAATAAACTGTGAGCTAAAAACCATTATAAAGATAGTCACTGCATAATAATATAAGGTTCCATTCTGAATGTTTGCGAATGCAGCAAAATAGCCTCAAAATATGTAAAGGAAAAAATACGCAACTACATGAAAAATTTGATAGATCAACTGTTGCCAGAGAAA